AGGAAGAAAGAAGGAAGAGGAAGAAGGAAGGAGGAGGGAAAGGAAGAAAGGAGGATGGATGGAAGAAGGGTGGAAGGAAGAGGAGGAAGGAAAAGAAGGATGGAAGGAAGGAGGGAGGGAAATTAAGGATGGATGGATAGAAGGAAGGAAGGAGGGAGGGAAGGAAGTGAAGGACGGATGGATGGAAGGAAGGAAGGAAGGACAGAAGGAAGTAAGGAGGGAGGGAGGGAAGGAAATGAAGGATGGATGGATGGATGGGTGGAAGGAAGGAAGGAGGGAGGGAAGGAAAGAAGGATGGAAGGGAGGGAGGGAGGAGGAGGGAGAGGGAGGGAGGGAGGGAAGGAAAAAGGAGGAGAGGAGGAAGGAAGGAAGGAAGGAGGAAAGGAAGGAAGGGGAGGGAGGAGGAGGGGGGAGGGAGGGAGGGGAGGGAAGGAGGGAGGGAGGGAAGGAATGAAAGGAAAGAAGGAAGGAGGAAGGAAGGAAGGAAGGGAAGGGAGGGAAGGGAAGGGGAGGAGGAGGAGGGAGAGGAGGAGAGGAGGGAAGGAAGGAAGGAAGGAAGGAAGGAAGGAAGGGTGAAAGGAACGAGGGAGGGAAGGAAATGAAGGATGGATGGAAGGAAGGAAATGAAGGATGGAAAGAAGGAGGGAGGGAGGGAAGGAAATGAAGGCTGCATGGAAGGCAGGAAAGAAGGAGAGAAGGAAGGAAATGAAGGATGGATGGAAGTAAGGAGGAAGGGAAGAAAGAAGAAAGGAAGGAATGAGGGATGGAGGAATGGAAGGAGGGAGGGAAGGAAATGAAGGATGGATGGATAGGAGGGAGGAGGGAGGGAAGGAAGGAGGAAAGGAGGGAAGGAAATGGAGGATGAATGGATGGATGGATGGAAGGAAGGAGGGAGGGAGGGAAGGAAATGAAGGATGCATGGAAGGAAGGAAAGAAGGAGGGAGGGAGGGAAGGAAGGAAGATGGTCACGTTTCATTTGTGTCAGAAGACTGGTGGGGCTCACACATACTTTTGGAAACTCACAATGCCTGATACAATGGGACTTTCACACAACCAAATCTTTCTCATCTTTTTAGAATAATCAAAAACGCTTTTTAACGAGGCCCATTAGAAAGCTTGCAGAATTGACATGATCTCTTGAAGAAGCAATGAAGGGGGTGATGAAACTGTTCAGACAGAGAGCGATGTATAGACACGATGGATGGATGGGATAGATTTTACGTCATAATTTCCAAATATCGTAAGACAGTGGTGGATCAGGGAAGATCTTGCAAAATCCGGTCATGAAAGCCTTTGACAATACATGGAACTAAAATGTTTTGATAGTTTCCCGGCATGGTAGAGGGAGATGGGAATTCATTCAGACTTTGCTGCATGACGAGACTTTTAAACATGGAATCCGAAATTCAATTTAAGGATGATCAAAGCTGATGAAGCCCTTCCGACCCTTCTTTCTTACCTTGCAGAGCAACACGGTGGAGGCAGCCTTTTTGAAGGCCAAACCCAGGAGCCAGTTTACTAGCTGTTAGGATTTCTGGGAGTTGAAGGACAAAAACATCTGGGGACCCCAGGCTGAGAACCACTGGTAGCAGTTTCAAGTTGTGATTTCTTACTGCCTGGGGGAATCCTTTGTTGAGAGGTGATTAGCTGGCCCTGATCGTTTCTTGTCTAGAGTTATATAAATCCAATTTTCCTAGTTTCCAACAGACCTCACAACCTCTGTGGATGCCTGCCATAGATGCAGGCAAAACGTCAGGAGAGAATGCTTCTGGAACATGGCCAGACAGGCCGGAAAACTTGCAACAATCCATGCAAACAGCTGCTTTGGTGAGGATGGGGTTCTCAGTCATGCAAAACTCTAATCCCATTCGATCTTCCCTATAGAAACACTTTCAATGGGGGAAACCCAAAACATCTCCATTTTTAAAATATGGTGTTTGAATGAGACTTGCTCCCAAAGTGTTACATCCAAGTGAATGGGATTCATGTTGAATGGGACTATATAAGAAAGAGGACATCTTTCTTCGGGTTTATGGCTCTAGGCGAATGTCAACAGTGGAAGGGTGGGTACCATGGACAAATGGGAAAATGGCAGTTTTCAAGGGTTGTCCTAAGGAAAGAGATCTGTGAACATTTGAGAGGCATGTAATAGAGGGATACTAGTGAGCCTTAATTCATACATGCCCAATGGTGATGGAGTTCCTCAACATTGAGCTATGGGATAAGCAACTCCATGGCCAGCATGGCATTATCAAATGGGGCCTTTTGGGTAGGCTCACAGGAGGAACGCTTCGCACAGAAGGTCTCATTTCAGGACAGATATTGTGCATTCATGTGTCTGGGGATTCATAATATGAACTCCAATTTTAGTGGACACTAGGGAAGATGGTCTGACCAAAGGCTGAGCTTGTTCACAACCAAATATGAATCTTGCAGGATTGTGGGCCTCGGTACAAAATAGATAGAAAGGAAAGATAAGCAACGAACCATGCTGTGCTCCATCCTTCAACCTGGCCACCTCCAAAAGAGATGATCAATCAGTCTGGCTCAGGGAATGCTGGGACCAGTAGTAGATGTTTCTGGAAGCTACCAGGTTGAGGAAGAGGCCCTCAAACCTTCAAAAGCAACTTTCTGTACAGCTCCTGAAATGCTTCCGGGTACCATCTTTGATAGCTGCTGGTATCCTGGTCCAACAATTAGGAATTGCAACTAAAGGGACAGGTAGGGAAGGGGAGAGGGCTGAAGACACACACATTCACTAATGATGGTGGACCACACAGGACACCGCATACAAACCTGATCCCATGACGTTGTGTGTGTCTCTCTGTGTACGAAGGACTCACGGAAAGCTCACATCGCAAGGATTGCAAACCAACACACTCAACCCATTTGCAGCCAACACACTCACACATTCAACCCATTTGTGGTGACAATGCTGTAGACCACAGTTTAGTTCCCCAAGAGCATCACAACACATGACGTTGTGTGTTTCTCTCTTTGTGTATGAAGGACTCACTAAAAGCCCACATTGCAAGGACTGAAAACCAACATACTCAACCCATTTGCAATCAACACACATTCAACCCATTTGTGGTGACACTGCTGTAGACCACAGTTTAGTTCCCCAGGAGCATCACAACACATGACGTTGTGTGTCTCTCTCTCTGTGTATGAAGGACTCACTAAAAGCCCACATCGCAAGGACTGAAAACCAACACACTCAACCCATTTGCAGCCAACACACTCACACATTCAACTCATTTATGGTGACACTACTGTAGACCACAGTTTAGTTCCCCAGGAGCATCACAACACATTACATTGTGTGTGTGTCTCTCTCTGTATGAAGGACTCACTAAAAGCTCACATCGCAAGGACTGAAAACCAACACACTCAACCCATTTGCAGCCAACACACTCACACATTCAACCCATTTGTGGTGACATTGCTGTAGATCAGAGTTTAATTTCCCAGGCGCATCACAACACATGACGTGTCTCTCTCTGTGTACGAAGGACTCACTAAAAGCCCACATTGTAAGGACAGAAAACCAACACACTCAAACCATTTGCAGTCAACATACATTCAACCCATTTGTGGTGACACAGCTGTAGACCACAGTTTAGTTCCCCAAGAGCATCACAACACATGACGTTGTGTGTCTCTCTCTCTGTGTACGAAGGATTCACACTCAACCCATTTGCAGCCAACACACTCACACATTCAACCCATTTGTGGTGACATTGCTGTAGATCAGAGTTTAATTTCCCAGGAGCATCACAACACATGATGTTGTGTGTGTGTCTCTCTGTGTATGAAGGACTCACTGAAAGCTCACATCGCAAGGACTGAAAACCAACACACTAAACCCATTTGCAGCTAACACACTCACACATTCAACCCATTTGTGGTGACACTGCTGTAGATCAGAGTTTAGTTTCCCAGGAGCATCACAACACATGACGTTGTGTCTCTCTCTGTGTGTGTATGAAGGACTCACTAAAAGCCCACATCGCAAAGACTGAAAACCAACACACTCAACCCATTTGCAGCCAACACACTCACACATTCAACCCATTTGTGGTGACATTGCTGTAGATCAGAGTTTAGTTCCCCCGGAGAATCACAACACATGACGTTGTGTGTGTCTCTCTCTGTGTACAAAGGACTCACTGAAAGCCCACATCGCAAGGACTGAAAACCAACACACTCAACCCATTTGCAGCCAACACACTCACACATTCAACCCATTTGTGGTGATATTGCTGCAGATCACAGTTTAGTTTCCCAGGAGCATCACACCACATGACGTTCTGTGCCTCTCTGTGTACAAAGGACTCACTGAAAGCCCACATCGCAAGGACTGAAAACCAACAAATTCAACCCATTTGCAGCCAACACACTCACATATTTGTGGTGACATTGCTGTAGACCTAGGAGCATCACAACAACAGAGGTTTCTATTTCATCTATGTAATGGTGGCTTCAAGACTTTTGAGTCAAGGCTTCCAGAATGGTGGAGCTGAACCAAAGCGCATGGCATGGAAAGGAGCATTGGGGATGGGTGAAGAAGGCCAAGGGTTGGGGGCAGGCATTGGTGGTTGGGGAAGACCCAGATCCCAACGGTTGGGGAACCCACATGAAATGGGGATTGAGGGTGTGGGCCATCAGCAGGCACATGGGACAGGTGGGCTTCCAAAGGAACTTCTTCTGCTGAAGATGGCAAGAAAATGGAGGCAGAAGCTCACCAGAAGTCAGTCCCTCAGAAGCCATTAGAGCAGTGGTTCTCAACCTGGGGTCCCCAGATGTTTTTGGCCTATAACTCCCAGAAATCCCAGCCAGTTTACCCGCTGTTAGGATTTCTGGGAGTTGAAGGCCAAAAACATCTGGGGAACCCAGGTTGAGAACTACTGCATTAGAGGATGAGACTGGGATGGGACCCATCCTTTCCTACATGAAATCCCAAGCAGATTGCAAGCACAGCACACCAAGGAAACAAGTGGCAAAAGGGCCTCTGGGGGCCAGATCTATTTTCCCCGAAGTGCATCTTGGGGTCATGAAGAAGTGCAGGCCTCTCCTGGGATTCTGCTTCTCCCCAAGTGACTGACGGTCTGGACAAGAAAGAAAGCAAAACTAAAACAACCCTTCTTCCCTCCCTAACCCACCCCCCCAAAATAGAAAGCCTTAGAAAGGCATATCTAAAACACTTCCAATTTAAATAATAATTATTATTTTAAAAACCCCAGTTTTGCCCTTGGCTAACCCACTAGCTGGGGGACTAACCAAAGTCATATTTCTTCTTCTTCTTCTTTTTCTTCTCAGCACGTGATTTGAAACATAAAGAGTTTTGAAACAGGTCCCCACACTGGACAGTTCCTTCGGGGCCTGCACAATTCATGATTGTGTCCCTACTTGGACCAAACGGGGAATTCTGTCCTGGAGGTGGAAGGTCCTCTGACCGCTCCTCCTTGCTCCCCTTGCTTTGCAGATGTCCGTAGCCAACAAACACCTCCTTCGCTAGATGAACTTGAAACATTTTGTCTTATCGTGGGGAAGCCGGGTCTTGAAGAGGACCGAGTCCACCCGGAACTGGGTGTAGAGCAAGGGCATGTAGCCGTAGACTTTGACAAAGAAGTTAATGCATTTGTGCCGCTCGTGGAAGTGGGAGTCGTCGTGCGAAAGGGCCTGAGGGCAGCCGGGGCAGCGGAAAGTCCAGCGGGAAGTTACCTGCGGAAGGAAAGACCAAGAAAGATGATCAGCAGGAAGGAAATGGTGGGAGAATCTTCCTATTGTACATACTCACGTTCAAGTCCACCTCAAAGATTAGCTGAGGGCAGGTTTTGGGAATCAAAATTATGGATTTTGATGTGCCCAAAGGATAAGTTGAAGGTCATTCCATGGAGAGGAATCATGCAATGATCAGACGCATGGATATGTTGAGGGTCATTCCATGGAGAAGATCCAGTCCATGGTAAGACCCATGGATAGGTTGCCATTCCATGGAGAGGACTCATTCCATGATTAGGACCCATGGACAGGTTGAGGGTCATTCCATGGAGGGGACCTATTCCATGACAAGACCCAATGATAGGTTGTATGTCATTCCATCAAGGGGACCCATTCCATGATAAGACCGATGGATAGGTTGAAGGTCATTCCATGGAGAGGACCCATTCCATGACAAGACCCAAGGATAGGTTGTAGTTCATTCCATAGAGAGGATCCATTCCATGATAAGACCAATGTATAGGTTGAGGGTCATTCCATGGAGAGGACCCAATCCATGATAAGACCCATGGATAGGTTATTATTCCATGGAGAGGACACATTCCATGATAAGACCCATGGATATGTTGTCATTCCACAAAGAGGACTCATTCCATGATAAGACCCGTGGATAAGTTGAGGGTCATTTCATGGAAAGAAATAGTTCCATGGAGAGCACCCATTCCATTATAGACCCATAGATAAATGGAGGGTCATTCCATGGAAGAATCATTCCATGATAAGACCCATGAATAAGTTGATGATCACTCCATGGAAAGGAATCATTCTATTATAAGACTTATGAATAAGGTGAGGGCCATTCCATGGAAAGGACTCATTCCATAATAAGACCCACAAATAAGTTGTTATTCCATGGAGAGAACTAATTCCATGATATGATCCATGTATACGTTGAGAGTCATTCCATGGAGAGGATCCATTCCATGATAAGACCCATGTATACATTGAGAGTCATTCCACGGAGAGAACTAATTCCATGATATGATCCATGTATACATTGAGAGTCATTCCATGGAGAGGACTCATTCCATGATATGATCCATGTATACATTGAGAGTCATTCCATGGAGAGGATTCATTCCATGATAAGACCCATGTATACGTTGAGAGTCATTCCACGGAGAGGACTCATTCCATGATAAGACCCATGTATACGTTGAGAGTCATTCCACGGAGTGGACTCATTCCATGATATGATCCATGCATGTCAAGGGAAAGGACCAGTTCTGCCTCAGGGGTTCAGTTGTCCTTGGCTTTCACCACCATTTCTCCATCAAGGCATTCAAAAAAGCCAGAAGCAACATTGCAATGGAGGAAGTAGAAGGGATCACTACTTCTTTTGAGTTGCCAGGGACAGACTGAAGCTCTTGCCTTTTTCTACTTAACTCAGAGAAGTTCCTTTGTATGATAAGAGTTAAGGTATAATACATACATTGACCTGTTGATAAGTCAACCTGAGTTTTGGGGGTCAATTTTTTCTGCACATATATATGAATAGATACAGTCAAACTGAACATTACAGCCACACTAAATTTGGACACAAGAGATAATGTGACAATCCACACATATCCAACATTGTTAACAGGAGATGGGATCGGAGATGTGTTTTGCTCTTGTGTTGATTCCAGAAAGCCAAAGAGTGGCCTTCTCTTCACCAAGCTAATAGCCTTGTCCCCATTTTTCCATAAAAAGAGGCCAAACTCCTGTTGGGAACCCGCCAATGTTGCTGTGGTTTGCTCAGCTTCGCCTCCGAGCCTTCCCTCCTTCCTTGCTCTGGCTGCAAAGAGGAGCCCAAAGGTCAGAGCAATTACTCACAGCTGGCTGAAAAACTCTGGCTCTCAAGAAATGTCAGCTAACAACAAGGATCCATTGAAAAGACCCCGGAGACCCACGCTGACCCCAGTCTGTCCCCCGCCAGAACAATACCGCCCAAGGAAGGTTGGATCCAATTATTGAGGACTGTACCAATGAATGACATCTACTTCTTTTCCATAATGTTTGTTGCCTGTCCCTCCCCCTGGGCTTTCGGGTTTTGCCAAGGACACGGGGAACCCTCATAAACATTTCGTATTTTCTTTAAAATCATTCAATGCTTCCAAACACCCAGCACACATCACAGTTTGCTGTCATCTTTATAGGGAAAGTTGAGATCATTCCAACTAGAGTTGCCAGGATGAAAACTGGAGGGACCCCAATAATCTTAAGAGAGTCTCAGACTTGGAAGGAAGTCATCTTTGGGTTCGTGAGTCACTTTTGGGTCCGGGAAAGGTGGGATAGAAATATCATAAATAAATAAGGAAGAGGCCACAAGGCTGCTGCAACTGATGTTTTGTTGTATACATTTGTAGACTGCTTTGAATATTGGACTACTGTAATGCATTCTACGTGGAGCTGCCTTTGAACGACTCCGGCCCTATTTACCTCTCTGAACGTATTCTCCCCTATGAACCATCAAGATTATTAAGATCGTCTGGAGAGGCCCTGCTCTCGGTCCCACCGGCTTCACAAGCGCGTCCGGTGGGGACAAGGGACAGGACCTTCTCGGTGATGGCCCCTCAACTCTGGAACTCTCCCCCACAGGAGATTAGAACTGCCCCTTCTATCCTGACATTCAGGAAGCAGGTGAAGATGTGGCTATGGAGACAGGCATTCGATGAGTGAGCCAACACCCGGAGATTGGATGGAGGATGATGAACATCAAATTTAGTGGGACGACTGACCATTGTATTTATTGAATGTAATTGCTGTTTTGCTGTTTTAATGTTTTTAATGTTTTATTGCAATATGAAGTATGATGTTTACTGATTGTATGTATTTTACGGTTGGAAACCGGTCTGAGTCCCTCAAGAGAGATAAGAAGGTCGGTATATAAAACTTTTAAATAAATAAATAAATAAATAAATAAATAAATAAATAAGATGGCGGCCAGGTTGTTAACTGGAGCAAATTACAGGGAGAGGTCAACTCCACTGTTCAAATAGTTCCACTGGCTGCCAATAAGTTTCTGTTCGCACCTACAAGGTCCAAAACGGTCCAGGACCTGACTATCTTCGTGACCACATCTTCCCCTATGAATCTGTGCGATCTTTAAGATCTTCTGGGGAGGCCCTCCATTTCCTTCCACCCCCGTCACAAGTGTGGTTGGTGGGGAAAAGAGAGAGGGTCTTCTTGGTGGTGGCTTCTCAGATCTGGAACTCTCTCCCCAGAGAGATTAGACTGGCGCCCACCCTGTCCACTTTTCGTAAAGACCTAACAACATGGATGTTCCACTGTGCCTTTGATTAAGCCAGATAATTTTGCCCCCCTCCCTGAAGCCACAACTCATTGTCCTGCCCTTGCACTTTACTACCATTCCCTGCCCTATAGATATATTGTTCTGTTTCACATTGCCCTCCTATTCCTAACTCATCACCTGGCTCCTGCACTTTACAGAATCATAGAATCAAAGAGTTGGAAGAGACCTCATGGGCCATCCAGTCCAACCCCATTCTGCCAAGAAGCAGGAATGTTGCATTCAAAGCACCCCTGACAGATGGCCATCCAGCCTCTGTTTAAAAGCTTCCAAAGAGGGAGCCTCCACCACACTCCTGCGCAAAGAGTTCCACTGCTGAACAGCTCTCACAGTCAGGAAGTTCTTCCTCATGTTCAGATGGAATCTCCTCTCTTGTAGTTTGAAGCCATTGTTCCACGTCCTAGTCTCCAAGGAAGCAGAAAACAAGCTTGCTCCCTCCTCCCTGTGGCTTCCTCTCACATATTTATACATGGCTATTATATCTCCTCTCAGCCTTCTCTTCTTCAGGCTAAACATGCCCAGCTCTTTAAGCCGCTCTTAATAGGGCTTGTTCTCCAGACCCTTGATCATTTTAGTTGCCCTCCTCTGGACACATTCCAGCTTGTCAATATCTCTCTTGAATTGTGGTACCCAGAATTGGACACAATATTCCAGGTGTGGTCTAATTAAAGCGGAACAGAGGGGTAGCATTACTTCCCTGGATCTAGACACTATGCTCCTATTGATGCAGGCCAAAATCCCATTGGCTTTTTTTGCCGCCACATCACATTGTTGGCTCATGTTTAACTTGTTGTCCACAAGGACTCCAAGATCTTTTTCACACGTACTGCTCTCGAGCCAGGCATTGTCCCCCATTCTGTATCTTTGAATTTCGTTTTTTCTGCCAAAGTGGAGTATCTTGCATTTGTCCCTGTTGAACTTCATTTTGTTAGTTTTGGCCCATCTCTCTAATCTGTCAAGATCGTTTTGAATCCTGCTCCTGTCCTCTGGAGTATTGGCTCTCCCTCCCAATTTGGTGTCATCTGCAAACTTGATGATCCTGCCTTCTAACCCTTCATCTAAGTCATTAATAAAGATGTTGAACAGGACCGGGCCCAGGACGGAACCCTGCGGATGGCACTCCGCTCGTCACTTCTTTCCAGGATGAAGAGGAAGCATTGGGAGAATCACCCTCTGTGTTCGTCCATTTAACCAATTCCAGATCCACCTCACCGTAGTTTTGCCTAGCCCACATTGGACTAGTTTCCTTGCCAGAAGGTCATGGGGGACCTTGTCAAAGGCCTTACTGAAATCCAGGTACGCTACATCCACGGCATTCCCTGCATCTACCCAGCTTGTAGCTCTATCGAAGAAAGAGATCAGATTAGTCTGGCATGACTTGTTTTTGATAAATCCATGTTGACTATTAGCGATGACTGCATTTGTTTCTAAGTGTTTGCAGACCGCTTCCTTAACAATCTTTTCCAGAATCTTGCCCGGTATCGACGTGAGGCTGACCGGACGGTAGTTGTTTGGGTCATCCTTTTTTTCCTTCTTGAAGATTGGGACCACATTGGCCCTCCTCCAATCTGCTGGAACTTCTCCCGTTCTCCAAGAACTCTCAAAGATGGTTGCCAATGGTTCCGAAATGACTTCCGCTAGTTCCTTCAATACTCTGGGTGTAGTTGATCTGGCCCTGGGGACTTGAACTCATTTAGAGCAGCCAGGTATTCCTGGACGACTTCTTTCCCAATTTGGGGTTGGATGTCCTCAATCCCTCATCCACTCCATCTTGCTGAGGTTGAAGACTCTCTTTTTGTGAGAAGACCGAGGCAAAGAAGGCATTAAGTAGTTCTGCCTTTTCCCTATCCCCTGTCAGCATTGCCCCATCTTCTCCTCGAAGAGGTCCTATCGCCTCCTTGTTTTTCCTTTTTCTACTGACATAAGAATAGAAGCCCTTTTTATTGTTTTTAATGTCCCTGGCAAGTCTGAGCTCGTTTTGTGCTTTAGCCTTGCGGACCTTTTCCCTACAGGTGTTGGCTGTTTGTTTGATGATCATGCCTTCTAGCTCTTCATCTAAGTCATTAATGGAGATCCTGAGCAGGACCGGGCCCAGGACAGAACCCTGCTTGTGGCACTCCGCTCGTCACTTCTTTCCAGGATGAAGAGGAAGCATTGGGGAGAATCACCCTCTGGGTTCGTCCATTTAACCAATTACAGATCCACCTCACCGTAGTTTTGCCTAGCCCACATTGGACTAGTTTCCTTGCCAGAAGGTCGTGGGGGACTTTATCCGTCAGCACTGTCCTTGCAACTGAATTGCACCAGCCTGCGCTCTCAAGCATGGTGGACAATGCTCTGGTTACCTGACCTACAAGAAGCACGACCTGAACATCAAGCAAAAAGTGGGCGCTAGAAACAACATCATACGAAAGCTGACTGGCACAACCTGGGGATCACAACCAGACACAGTGAAGACATCTGCCCTTGCGCTATGCTACTCTGCTGCTGAGTTCCACCAGTGTGGAACACATCTCACCACACTAAAACAGTAGATGTGGCTCTTAATGAGACATGCCGCATTATCACAGGGTGTTTGCGCCCCATACCACTGGAGAAATTACACTGCTTAGCCGGTATCGCACCAGCTGACATCCCCCGGGAAGTGGCAGCCAATAGTGGATGGACCAAGGCAGTGACATCTCCAGCTCATCCCATTTTTGGGTATCAGCCAGCACGTCAACAACTTAAATCTAGAAATAGTTTTCTAAGATCTACAGAGACACTTGCTGGAACACCTCAGCAAGTGAGAGTCCAAAAGTGGCAGGCTCAAACCCAGAACCTCAACCAATGGCTGATACCAAATGAGAGTCTCCCCCCTGGGCACACAGAAAACTGGGCGACTTGGAAGGCACTGAACGGATTGCACTCTGGCACCACGAGATGCAGAGCCAATCTCAAGAAATGGGGCCACAAAGTGGAGTCCACAACATGCGAGTGCGGAGAAGAGCAAACCACTGACCACCTGCTGCAATGCAACCAGAGCCCTGCTACATGCACAATGGAGGACCTTCTTGCGGCAACACCAGAGGCACTCCAAGTGGCCAGATACTGGTCAACGGACATTTAATCAACTACCAAATTTACAAATTTTGTGTTTTGTCTGTTTGTTTTGTTCTGTTAGAAATGTAATACAATTGACTGGTTGCCCTGACACGAGAAATAATACCTCCTGTACAAATTACCACTCTAAGTGGGGTCGCCTTTGAAGATTGTTCAGAAGCTTCAACTGTGAAAGAGCCACACAAGTGAGTTGTAGCATTTCCGCCGCCCAAAAACCATGCCCAAAAAAGGCTAATTAAAATGCACACACACACACAGAGTTCATGAAATGGGTTGTTTCTTTCTGCCAGGATATGGAGACGGAATGGGTCGTTAGTCTTAGGTGCAACTGGCGGGTCTTTGTGCATTTGCTCAGCTTCCTCCCTAAATAGCGGAAAACCAACAAGGGGAGCTTAGGTGAGGCGTCGTCTATCACCTGTCAAAGCCAAACGCCTTTCGCTTCTGTCTTGACTTGAGAGAAAGCGTTCAGGCTCTGAGCGTTCGGCTAAAGACAAGGAGATGAATAAGGCTTGTGTAACAAAAGTCTCGCCTCAAGCATAGAGGATGACCTACTTCTTTCCTACATCTTCCCTCGGGCTTTGGCAATTTGCACAAAGAGAGCGCTCTGTGGAGCCAGATTCGGTAATGGATGATTCCCTTTTTCAGAGGCATGCCCGCCTATGTATGCGTATGGGAAGGCCCAGCTACCCACTTGGAGCTTGATGCTTTGGTTTGCTTAAGAATTTAGTGTGATTCTACCCCACTTTTTGATACATAAATCTATATAAATAAAAATGTAATGTTAGTGGGTTGTTGTAGGTTTTTTCGGGCTGTATGGCCATGGTCTAGAGGCATTCTCTCCTGACGTTTTGCCTGCATCTATGGCAAGCATCCTCAGAGGTAGTGAGGTCTGTTGGAACTAGGAAAAGGGGGTTATATATCTGTGGAATGACCAGGGTGGGACAAAGGACTCTTCTCTGCTGGAGCTAGGTGTGAATGTTTCAACTGACCACCTTGATTACTTACTTACTTACTTAGGCAATCCCTCATTTTCCGAGGATGATTGTCTTCCTGTGTTCTTGTGGGTCCGTATGTGGCTGTGGAGCCCTATTCTTGCTCTGCATCTTCTTCCGCAGTGAGGGCATTGGTTTCCAGGTGGAAGGCGGTCTCGGTCAGGGTTGGCTTGATGCGCCTTCCTCTTGGCACGCTTCTCCCTTTCGCCCACCATTTGTGCCTCTTCAAATTCTGCAGCACTGCTGGTCACAGCTGACCTCCAGCTGGAGCGGTCAAGGGCCAGGGCTTCCCAGTTCTCACTGTCTATGCCGGAGTTTTTGAGGTTGGCTTTGAGCCCATCTTTAAATCTCTTTTCCTGTCCTCCAACATTCCGTTTTCCGTTCTTGAGTTCGGAGTAGAGCAACTGCTTTGGGAGACAGTGGTCAGGCATCCAGACAATGTGGCTGGTCCAGCGGAGTTGATGCGGAGGACCATCGCTTCAATGCTGGTGGTCTTTGCTTCTTCCAGCATGCTGACGTTTGTCCGCCTGTCTTCCCAAGAGATTTGCAGGATTTTCCGGAGGCAGCGCTGATGGAATCGTTCCAGGAGTTGCATGTGACGTCCACCTTGATTAGCATACAATGGGCTGACTGTGCTTGGAGCAAACTTTTGTTGAGAGGTAATCAGATGTCCCAAACACGAATCAAGGAACATGAAAGGCACTGCAGACTACTTCAACTAGAGAAGTCAGCCACAGCAGAGCACCTGATGAACCAACCTGGACACAGCGTATTATTGGAGAACACAGAAATGCTGGACCACTCTCACAACCACCATGTCAGGCAACACAGAGATGCCATTGAAATCCACAAGCATGTGGACAATTTCAACAGAAAGGAGGAAACCATGAAAATGAACGTCTACTACCAGTATTAAAAAAAACTCTAAAATTGCAACAGCACAACAACAGAGAGGAAACAAACAAGGGCATCTAATCACCTCTCAACAAAAGATTGCTCCAGGCACTGTCAGGCCATTATATACTAATCAAGGTGGTCAGTTGAAACATTCACAACTAGCTCCAGTAGACAAGAGTCCTTTGTCTCACCCTGGTCATTCCACAGATATATAAACCCTTTTTCCTAGTTCCAACAGACCTTGCTACCTCTGAGGATGCTTGCCACAGATGCAGGCCAAACGTCAGGAGAGAATGCCTCTATACCATGGCCATACAGCCCGAAAAAACCTACAACAACCCAGTGATTCTGGCCATGAAAGCCTTCAACAATACAATGTAATGTTAGTTTGTGGGATTAACATAACTCAAAAACCACTGGACCAATTGACACCAAATTTGGACATAATACACCTGTCAGGCCAACGGGATGGCATACGTTCTGTATCAGAAACTAGAGCTGATGTGGTCTATCCAATGCAATTTTTTGAATCAGTACCCCAAATAACCAAACCAAATCTAAAATTGACCAAAAACTGATTCGTAATCCTTTTGGTACTAATGTTGGGCAAAGTGGCCCCTGGTCAAAAAAAGGTTGGGAACCACTGATATCTATTTATTTATTTATTTTACTTGTATGCCGCCTTTCTCAGCCTTTTGCCGACTCTAGGCGGTACTATTTTATAAGGGGTACTATTTTACTATGCCATTATAATGCAATGGGACTTGAGCATCCATAGACCTTTGCGTCCACAGAAGGTCCTGGATCGAAACCCCAGCAAATACTGAGTAATGCAAAAGAGGTTGGGAAGTTGTGTCTATTCTTGTGGACAAAACGATGAACCTCATCCGCCTTCTGCCAGACCCTCACCTTGATAGGCGGCTTCCTGGTGATGTGGGAGACCAGGAAGTTCATGGCAATATCCTCACAGTTGATGTATTCGTCCACCATGTCGCGGATGGCCTGTGGCATCACATAGGAATACAGGTAGGCATAGTACTGAAAGCGCAAGAGAGAGAGAGAGAGAGAGGCGAGCTAGCATCAGATGAAGACATTTTACCAATATCTACAGAGAGAGAGCATTATAATTCATTATTATGTCTTGACACGCTACCTTACTAGATTAGCAAAAATCCAGAGTGCACTAATCTAAGCCAAGCCTGGGCAAACTTTGGCCCCCCAGATGTTTTGGACTTCAACTCCCACAATTCCTAACAGTCTACTGGCTGTTAGGAATTGTGGGAGTTGTAGTCCAAAACACTTGACAGGCTGAAGTTTGCCCAGGTCTGATCAAGTCTCTCTTCAAAAAGTTCTAAACATTCAAAGGCAGCATATATCACTGTCAAACATTTCTTATTATCAGGAAGGTCTTCCTCATGCTTATGTGAAACTCTTTCCTGCAATTTGAATCCACTGTTCCATTGTGTCCCAGTCTCTAGAGGAGCAGAAAACAAGCCTTTATGTGCTATCCTTTCAAATATTTAAGCAATGCTGTGATGTCCCCTTCTCTCAACTGTCTCTTCTCCAAGCTAAACAGAACCATCTCCCTAAGCTTCTTCACAGAGGACATAACTAGCAGACCTTTGATGGTCGCTGGACATCTTCCTGAGAACATTAAGTTGACTTTCAAAAATTCAAAACGTCCAGAGAGACCAGAGAGAGAATGTAAAACAACCAGAGAGAGAATGTAAACACAGCTTTCAGAATCTCAAATCTTTTACAGAAGAGTCAGCCTCTGATGATCAATATTATTCAGGCTTTGAACTTAAAGTTATACAATCACAAAGTTGGGAGGACCTCATGGGCCATCAGGTCCAATTATTATTACAGTAGAGTCTCACGTATCCAACATAAATGGGCCGGCAAAACGTTGGATAAGCGAAAATGTTGGATGATAAGGAGGGATTAAGGAAATAAAGCCTATTAAATGTCAAATCATGTTATGATTTTACAAATTAAGCACCCAAATATCATGTTTTACAACAAATTAACAGGGAAAAAACCAGTTCAATACATGGTAACATTATGTAGTAATTACAAATTTAGCATCAAAACATTGCAATGTATTGAAATAGCTGTGGATGTTGCACTCAATCACTCAAGGGGACTGTCTGCAGTTTCCTCGACATGCAGAGTCCAACCTATGGGCATCAGCATTTGTTTCCAGACTATACAACTGGTTGGACAAACCTAAGGAAAAGCAAAGGAGTAACTTGCTTTCTTAACTTCCTTGTTATTGACAAAGTAAAGAAGAAGGAAGGGAGAGAGGGTGGGAGAGAGGGAGGGAGGGAGGGAGGGAGGGAAGGAAGGAAGGAAGGAAGAAGGAAGGAAGAAGAGGAAGGAAGGAAGGGAAGGAAGGAAGGAAAGAAAGAAAGAAGGAGGGAAGAGAAAGAAGGAAGGAAGGAAGGAAGAAGGGAAGGAAGGAAGGAAGGAAGAGGGAGGGAGGAGGGAGGGAGGGAAGGAAGGAAAGGAAGGAAGGAAGGGGGAAGGAAGGAAGGAAGGAAGGAAGGAAAGGAGGAGGGGGAGGGGAAGGAAGGAGGGAAAGGAAGGAAAAGAAGGAGAGGGAGGAGGGAGGGAGAGAAGGAAGGAAGGTGGGAGGAGGAGAGGGAGGGAGGGAGGGAGGAGGAAGGAAGGAAAAAGGGAGGGAAGGAAGGAATGAAGGAAGGAGAGAAGGAGAGAGAGAAAGAGGAAAAGAAGAAGGGAAGGAGAGAACGAAGGAAGGAAGGAAAGAAAGGTAGAGAAGGAAGGAAAGAAAGAAAGAAGGAAGGAAAGAAAGAAGGAAGGAAGGAAGGAGAGAAGGAAATTAAAAAGTGAAAGAAAGAAGGAAAAAGGGAGGGAAGGAAGGAATGAAGGAAGGAGAGAAGGAGAGAGAGAAAGAGGAAAAGAAGAAGGGAAGGAGAGAAGGAGAGAGAGAAAGAGGAAAAGAAGAAGGGAAGGAGAGAAGGAAGGAAAGAAAGAAGGAAAGAAGGAAGGAAGGAAGGAAGGAAGGAAGGAAGGAAGGAAGGAAGGAAGGAAGGAAGGAAGGAAGGAAGGAAGGAAGGAGAACTAGGAGCCACCACAATGAACAGGGATGATCTCCCTCCACTTACTTTGTGAAAGAAGGCAGCGCCAGTCAGCACCATGGAGAGTTCACAGGAGTAGTTGGAGTTGTAGAGCCAGGACTGGTGGGGGATGTCCCACGCGTGGTAGCGCCCGGGGAATCCAACAATGCGGTCCCTGGCTTCTCTCCAGACCCTGCGGGTGCAAAGTCAAGAAAGGTTTCACCGGGCAAGAAAAGAGATGGATTATGCTTGACAGGCAGGAGACAAAAAGCAATTGGCCACACTATCTCAAGAGCAGCATAATAAAGCCAATGAGGTCCGTCAATACATGGTGTTGACCCCTACCATGCTAGATAGCAACTGTAGACTTACATGTGAACAAGAGGCCCATTGAAAACGTTCCCCGGACCCCAAGTTGAGATAGAGCAAACAACTTCTTGATCTCACTTGGCCTTTCTTTTTGTTTTGTTTTGGGACCATTGCTCTCTAAGTCATAAAACTAGCATAGTCTCATCACAGAAGGAAAAGAGTCCCATAGCTTACAGAGGAGATTCACAACATATGGTCTACGGACCACCACTGGTCCGCAAGAACTAAAATATGGTCCACAGCCTCACCATTAGTACACCATTGCAACAAGAGTGACTGGTCTTGCAAAAGCCCTAGGTTTATTAAATACGGTTTTCTGTGGGCGAGCTGAAGTGGTCTATCCAATGCAATTTTCTGAATCAGCACCCCCAAATAACCAAACGGAATTTAAAGTTGACCAAAAACTGATTCATAACCCTTTTGGTACTAATGGTGGAGAGTGGTCCCTGGTCAAGTGGCCCCTAGTCAAGTGCCCCCTGGTCAAAGTGGTCCCTGGTCAAAGTGCCCCCTGGTCAAGTGCCCCTTGGTCAAAGTAGTCTCAGGTGAAGTGGTCCTTGGTCAAAGTGGTCCCTGGTCAAGTGCCCCTTGGTCAAAGTGCCCCCTGGTCAAAGTGGTCCCTGGTCAAGTGCCCCCTGGTCAAAGTGGACCCTGGTCAAATGGTCCTTGTTCAAAATGGTTTCAGGTGAAGTGGTCCCTGGTCAAATGCCTCCTGGTCAAAGTGGTCCCTGGTCAAGTGCCCACTGGTCAAATTGCCCCTGGTCAAGTGGTCCTTAGTCAAAATGGTCTCTGGTCGAGTGGCCCCTGGTCAAATGGTCCCTGGTCAAACTGCCCCTAGTCAAAGTGGCCCTTGGTAAAATTGTCCCTGGTCAAGTGGTCCTTGGTCAAAACGGTCTCTGGTGAAGTGGTCCCTGGTTAAGTGCCCCCTGGTCAAATTGTCCCTGGTCAAGCAATCCCTGGTCAAAATGGTCCCTGGTCAAGTGCCCACTGGTCAAATTGCCCCTGGTCAAGTGGTCCTTAGTCAAAATGGTCCCTGGTCGAGTGGCCCCTGGTCAACAAAAGGTTGGGAACCACTGGGTTACAGCTATGGTCCTAAAACAAAACAAGACTAAGTGAGCCAAAGAAGGGACATTTCCTTGTTTTTTTCTTCACCTGGTAGGTCTTAGGAACACAACATACACAGTTGTAGCAATGATCTACTTAGTCAAACTGAAGCTTGAAACCAACACCCAACTTGGGGTTTCATGTAAAGTTGTAGGAACACCTTGTCCACTTTAAAACGGAGATGTAATTCCACATTTCCGGCCTTCCACTTATTCCTCAGCTTTGGACATGCGGTGTGGGCTTGTTTTCTGCTCCATGGGAGGCTCCCATGACTCTTTAACCACTGAAAGCCTCCTCTATTACCGCTCCTATAAATAGAGACGTGTTACTAAAAATAAAGTTGCGCGGTAACTCACTTTCTCCATTGGGTGGAAATTAGGAGCAAACACAGAGGAATGAGTCCACACAGCTAATTTTCTGGAAAATCTCCTCTTGCAGCAGCACGCTAATGGCAGAAAATACTGCCTTCTTGGTCCCTGGCTCTAATCAATTTTCCTCTTTCTGCACATGCAAACTGGAGTGAATGTTGGATATGCAAACAGTAGCTTAGGACTATGCAAAGCCAGCCAGGTGAGTAAGAAAAAGATCCAAAAATCCAAAGTAGATATAGTAGTTGTTAGGCCAAACGAAATGTGCAAAATGCCATGATGCCAACTTTCAAGGCTTCTTCAGCAGGCAAAAAAGTTAAAAAGAAATAATGAAGAGGAAGGAAAATGGATATTAATAGAGTCTTGCTTGCTTGGATTGATTTATAGGGAGGTGAAATATGCTTTCCCAGGGATAGTAATGCCCGGGAAAGCAACAGCCTTGTTTAGTTCAGGTAGAGAATCTCTGATCTGGAAATTCAAAAATCATCCACAATGGGAAGCTGAGAGGGTGACATCTTTGCTTTCTGACAGTTCCACATTCCCAAACTTTGTTTCATGCACAAAATTGCATTGTCAAAGGCTTCCAAGGCCAGAATCACTGGGTTGTTGTAGGTTTTTCGGGCTGTATGGCCATGTTCTAGAAGCGTTTCGCCTGTATCTATGGCAGGCATCCTCTGCGGTTGTGAGGTCCTTTGAGGATGCCTGCCACAAATGCAGGAGAAATGTCAGGAGAGAATGCTTCTAGAACATGGCCATATAGCCCAAAAAACCTACAACAACCCAATGCAGTTTGAAAAAGAAATGAGATTGGGTTGTTGTAGGTTTTCCGGGCTATATGGCCATGTTCTGGAGGCAATTTTTCTCCTGACGTTTCGCCTGCATCTGTTGGCATAGATGCAGGCGAAACGTCAGGAGAAAAATTGCCTCCAGAACATGGCCATATAGCCCGGAAAAACCTACAACAACCCATGGATTCCGGCCATGAAAGCCTTCGACATATATTTATTATTTTTCCAGCAATGTAAGTATTATCATACAATTAATAAAGACAATAATTTTCTCCTCTATGACTTATATTGCTATATATATATATACAGTATATTCTGGCGTATAAGACTACTTTTTAACCCAAGAAAATCTTCTCAAAAGTCAGGGGTCGTCTTATATGCGGGTGTAGTCTTATGCATGGGAGTCATCTTAACTCTATATTTTAACTGGAAAAGTTGGGGGTCGTCTTATACGCCCAGTCGTCTTATATGCCGGAATATACGGTAATATATATATATATATATATATATATATATATATATATATATATATATAAAAAATTTATATTGATATATAGGCTAAAGGTAAAGGTTGTCCTCTGACATTAAGTCCAGTCATGTCTGACTCTGGGGTGTGGTGCTCATCTCCATTTCTAAGCCAAAGAGCCAGCGTTGTCCGTAGACACCTCCAAAGTCATGTGGCCGGCATGATTGCATGGAGCGCCGTTACCTTTCCGCCGGAGTGGTACCTATTGATCTACTCACATTTGCATGTTTTCTGATGAGACGTGATGGATTAGTTATATGGATGTATTGATGTTTATTGATATATTGATGTATTGTTATATTGATTACTGTTTTACTGTTTTAAATGCTAATGTTGTGCACTTTGTATACTGATTTGGTTGTAAACCGCTCTGAGTCGCCTACGGGCTGAGAGAGAGCGGTATACAAATGAAGTAAGTAAATAAATAAATAAATGTTTTCGAACTGCTAGGTTGGCAGAAGCTAGGGCTGACAGAGGAAGCTCACGCCGCTCCCCGGAATCGAACCTGTGACCTTTCAGTCAACAAGCTCAGCGCTTTAACCCACTGCGTCACCAGGGGCCCATTGATATATATATATATATATATATATATATATATATATATATATATCTCACCATATATATATTGCCATTGATATATGTATAGCAATATATATCAATATATCTACTGGCTGAGAAAGGCAGTATACAAATGCGGTAAATAAATAAATAAATAAATAAATTTGAATGAGTTTCCCCCACCTGCCCTGTTGCACAAAATGATTGAAATATGGTATATAAAATTACCTTCAGGTTATGTGTATTAAGTGTATATGAAATACTATGGAGTTTCATGCTGACACTTGCTTGTTCCAATCTCTAAGATACCTTATTATGTATGTGCACGTATCCCAAAATACATTTTAGATAATGTAAGCAAGATACGGTTTTATTATTCTATCAGTGGGTTTGTGGACTGCGTATTGTTTTAATGACTGTTGTGATAATTTGGTTAATTAATTGCTATTGTTTTTAACTCTGTATGTATTTATGGTTTTATACTGTGTTATTGATTGTGGGATCAAATTGTTGCCTTTTGTTAGCCGCTCTGAGTCCCGTGCCCCCCCCCCCCCCCGGGGGGTTGAGAAGAGCGGGGTAAAAATGCTATAAATAAATAATAAATAATGGACACAGAATGTTTATTTCCGTATTGAGGACCAGCTTTAGCACAGCAGGTTAATCACCAGCTGCAGCTACAGTAAATCTTGCCAACTGAAAGGTTGACAGTTCGAAGCCGGGTCAGGGTGAGCTCCTGATCTTCTGTAGAGCTCCCCTGCCCAGTTAGTGGATCGAAAACAGCAATATGAGTAGGTAAATAGGAGCCACACTAAACAGAGAGGTATTTTAGGCATGGTGTTTCCATCAGAAAAAAGGGAACGTTTATGAACAAAGAAAGCTCTTTGACAAGGAGGTGGCACAACAGCACCCCCTGTGGCTGGAACCGAGCACAGCCTCCAAAGATGCTGAAAGATGGGAAAAGAATACACACACACACCTCTATCTGTCGTCTGTCTTGTCATTGTATAATTGGCACTGAATTTTTGCCATATATGTGTTCTGTGATCCGCCCTGAATCCCCTTCGGGGCGAGAAGGGCGGAATATATACTGCAAGTAAATAAACATTTTGTACAAAAATAACTTGCTTACTCTCCTAATCAGTCTTCATTGTAGGAAAAAGATCATAGAATCATAGAATCAAAGAGTTGGAAGAGACCTCATGGGCCATCCAGTCCAACCCCATTTTGCCAAGAAGCAGGAATATTGCATTCAAATCACCCCTGACAGATGGCCATCCAGCCTCTGCTTAAAAGCTTCCAAAGAAGGAGCCTCCACCACACTCCAGGGCAGAGAGTTCCACTGCTGAAACGGCTCTCACAGTCAGGAAGTTCTTCCTCATGTTCAGATGGAATCTCCTCTCTTGTAGTTTGAAGCCATTGTTCCGCGTCCTAGTCTCCAAGGAAGCAGAAAACAAGCTTGCTCCCTCCTCCCTGTGGCTTCCTCTCACATATTTATACATGGCTATCATATCTCCTCTCAGCCTTCTCTTCCTCAGGCTAAACATGCCCAGCTCCTTAAGCCGCTCCTCATAGGGCTTGTTCTCCAGACCCTTGATCATTTTAGTCGCCCTCCTCTGGACACATTCCAGCTTGTCAATATCTCTCTTGAATTGTGGTGCCCAGAATTGGACACAATATTCCAGGTGTGGTCTAACTCAAAGCAGAATAGAGGGGTAGCATTACTTCCTTAGATCTAGACACTATGCTCCTATTGATGCAGGCCAAAATCCCATTGGCTTTTTTTGCTGCCACAGGAAGATGCCAAGGAAAGGGACAGAAATTGAGGTCCATAGGATCTCCTAGGGGAAGCTGTGCACATTCCATCTCAAAGTCTCAGGGCTTCTTCACTTACCGGAATCCAAACATAATCTCGTCATGGCGAAGATGGGCGTCGTCGTCAATTGACAAGATGGCCTCCGTCTCAATCTCATCCCAGGGCAGAAACCGGTTGTTCAAGCTGTTCTTCTCTGTGCGTACAACCTGGGAAACGGAAGAGATCAAAGTTTTATTTACCTTTTAAAAAAAGTTGGAAGAACTTAACAAAGACCCTAAGGAAACCAGTCACCATACCCCAGAGATGTTTTTTGAAGAGTATTGTAAACATATGAAATCAAACAGCATAACTACACACACACACACACACACACACACACACAGTCTTCGTAATTTTTGCCTGGGGCAATCTTTTGTTGAGATGTAAAAAGGAGGTGAAAAAGGAGGTCAGAAAGGAGGAATCAATGAAAATGAACAAAATCTGGCTACCAATATTAAAAAAAACTCTACAGAAAGGAAACAATTAAGGACATCTAATCACCTCTCAACAAAAGATTGCCCCAGGCACCAACAAGCCACACCAAACAACTGCCAGGCCATCAAATGCTAATCAAGGTGGTCAGTTGAAACATTCACACCTAACTCCAACAGACAAGAGTTCTTTGCCCCACCCTGGTCATTCCACAGATATATAAACCCATTTTCCTAGTTCCAAACAGACCTCGCTACCTCTGAGGATGCTTGCCATAGATGCAGGTGAAACGTCATATGGCCATATAGCCCGAAAAAACCTACAACAACCCAGTGATTCCGGCCATGAAAGCCTTTGACAAAACATTAATACAATTCTATATTTCCATGTCTATTGGCTTCAGAGAGGAGCATTGGGATGGATGGAGAGGCAAGAGGATGAGAGGGTGTAAACCTTCCCTGCATTTTTCTTTACCTGCCACTAAAATCGCCTTCTTCTCAGCAAATAGATGAGAAAAACAATGCTTTCCGTCCCACCAGACCTCACAACCTCTGAGGATGCTTGCCATAGATGCAGGCGAAACGACAGGAGAAAATGCCTCTAGAACAAGGCCATATAGCCCGAAAAAATCTACAACAACCCACCATAAAATGACAAGCGACTCGAAGACATACACACATGAGTGGATTTGCTCTGGATTGTAAACCTGCATGTTTTAGCTCCAGAAAACAGTTTGTAAACAACTTAAAAGTTACACCTCAAGGTGAGTCATTAGCCATGTGTGTCCAAAAGCTTTTGTAAAGATGAATTGCATCCTTCATTAACTGCATAAATGAGTCCAAAAGAAGAGGAGAAATCAAAGTCACGGGGCTTCAAAAGCAGGAAAGAAAACTTCTGGCACCTGGGGCCTAAATCCAGCTGGCATCAACCGGTGAGTAAGTCAATACTTATGGAAATATCCCTGATTCAGTGGGTCTACTCAAGCTGGGACTAGCAATTGGACTTAGGCCCTTTTCCCTCGCATATATATTATGTCACTGGCACAAACGGGGATAATCCGGTCTCTTGGAGCAACTGTTTGCTCATCCGCAGCAAACTTGGCCACCGATTGCTACTAGTAAGATGTCCCCATTTCCACTCCAAAAAACACAAATTCCACTCTCTCCCCGAAACATTTTTTTAAGCCCGTAGAAAAGCAGCATGATGGCAATAAAACGCCATTAAATAAGATTACATTGGGATCATATATTAAAAAGAAATCCTCCACTGAAACCATTAACCAGTGGAAAACATTTGTCGGGAGGAACCGGGTGACAGCTGGTATGATTAAATCCCTGCATTAAGCCAACATTAGTACTTCCCCCTGTCAATAGCTAACAGAAGGGCGGATGAAAAAAAGAATATATGGGATGCTCCACAGCCAAGCTTAGAAGGTTTCACAAGAGATGCATCAAAAGGAGGGGCATAATTTATTGGAGGGATGGCAGTGGGGGTCCATAGCAAAGGCAGGTTGGCCAATGGTTGAGGGGCCCATGGCAGCCCCATTGAGTGACGCATAAATCTCAATCAGCACCTTGAAAAGAGGAAGGCCACTAAGAGTACTGGTTGGCAAGAAGGTCTCTATCCTCTTCCTAGACACTCTAAACACCTTTGCAGAAGCATACGAGAAGCTCGGTCTATCATTGAACATCGAGAAAACCAAAGTGCTCTTCCAGCAGTCACCAGCCAGTCCCTTTCCAATGCCAGAGATACAGCTTAATGGTGTAACATTAGAAAATGTTGACCATTTCCGCTCCCTTGGCAGCCACGTCTCCACAAATGTCAACATTGACACTGAAATACAACACCATCTGAGATCTGCGAGTGCAGCATTTTTCCAAATGAAGCAGAGTGTTTGAGGACCGGGACATCCATAGGGATACCAAGGTGTTTGTTTATAAAAGCTATTGCCCTCCCAACCCTGCGAGACGTGGACAGTCTACAGACGTCACATGCAACTCCTGGAATGATTCCATCAGCATTGCCTCTGGAAAATCTCTTGGGAAGACAGGCAGACAAATGTCAGCGTGCTGGAAGAAGCAAAGACCACCAGCACTGAAGCGATGGTCCTCCACTTCAGGCTGATTGCATTTTATGGTTTGTCCGTTTGGCAACTCTATGCTCTCCCTGTGAGTAATTTTCCCTTTCTTTAATGCCACTGTGGCACATTTGTTTAGGCCAAACTCCATACTGATGTCAGTGCTGAAGATTCTGGCTGTGTTGGTCACCAGCACTGAAGCGATGGTCCTCCGCCATCAACTCCGCTGGACCATCTATGTTGTCTGGATGCCCGACCACCGTCTCCCAAAGCAGTTGCTCTACTCCGAACTCAAGAATGGAGAACAGAATGTTGGTGGGCAGGAAAAGTGATTTAAAGATGGGCTCAAAGCCAACCTTTAAAACTCTGGTATAGACACTGAGAACTGGGAAGCCCTGGCCCTTGAGCGCTCCAGCTGGAGGTCAGTTGTGACCAGCAGTGCTGTAGAATTTGGGAGGCATGAATGGAGGGTGAAAGAGAGAAACGTGCCAAGAGGAAGGGGTGTCAAGCCAACCCCGACCAAGACCACTTTCCACCTGGAAACCAATGCCCTCACTGCGGGAGAAGATGCAGATCAAGAATAGGCTTCCACAGTTACCTACTGACCCACCAGCACACTGGTCCTGGAAGACTATCCTACTCGGACAATGAGGGATCGCCTAAGTAGTAAGTTGGGCCGCCCATTGTGTTTGATTTTCCATTATGTTATTTTGTATTATTTATTTCGTTTTGCTACTGTATGTATTTTATTCTGATGTAATTTTGGTTGTTTTGTGTTTTGTATTTCATTTTGCTTTACTGTATCTTCGGGCTTGTATCTTGTATCTTCGGCCTCATGTTAGTTGCCCTGAATCCCCTCCAGGGAGATGGTGGCAGGGTATAAATAAAGATAGTTTTTCAATGAATATCTCATAGAGCCTCAACCAATTCAACGTAGTTTGTGGCAGACACAAAAATGAAGTTTCTGGAGTAGAATAACTACTTTCAAAGTAAGGACTGCACAATTAAACAGGAAATAACAAACCAGGAACAGAAACATTTTCAAATTTTGTTGTTGTTGTTGTTATAATTAGAAACACAACAAGATTAGTTCACAGCAGACAAGATCACTCTGTTGGCTGTTGTATTGGATCACACATCGGACACTTCCCAAGTGTCTAGGACTGTGTGATGTATCGGCTAATAATGCGTGCAGATCCCAGTAGGGTGGCCTTTTGCAGCTGGCAGATGGTAATTTTGTCAGCGCCAATTGTGTTTAAGTGCAGGCCAAGATCTTTAGGCCCTGAACCAGTGTGCCGATCACCACTGGGACCACTTTGACTGGCTTGTGCCAGAGTCTTTGCAGTTTGATCTTTATTATTATTATAAGTAAGCAACAGGATTATAGATGGTTCCCTTATGAACCATCTTGGAGGTTAAGATTGTCTGAGGAGCCCTGTTCTCGGTCCCGCCTCCTTTGCAGGCGCAACTGGTGGGGAAAGACAAGGCCTTCTCAGTGGTGGCCCCTTGGCTGTGGAACTCCCTCCTCAGTGACATTAGATCACCCCCCTCCCTCCTGGACTTCAGAAGGAAAGTGAAAATATGGCTCTGGGATCAAGCCTTCGAACTTTGAATTGTGCTCGGAAACTGGTTGGCAGCCAGTGGAGCTGATGTAACAGAGGAGTAGTATGCTCTGTGTACCCCGCTCCTGTTAGTAGTCTGGCTGCCGCTCGTTGGACTAGTTGTAGCTTCTGGGCAGTCTTCAAAGGCAACCCCACGTAGAGAGCATTGCAGTAGTCTATACGGGATGTAACCAGAGCGTGGACCACTGTGGCCAGATCAGACTTTCCAAGGTACGGGCGCAGCTGGCGCACAAGTTTTAATTGTGCAAAAGCTCCCCTGACCACCGCTGAGACCTGGGGTTCCAGGCTCAGTGATGAGTCCAGGATCACTCCCAAGTTATGGAGAGGAGGTGTCTCCACTGAAGATTTATCCCCAGTCCTTGTTTCCACAACAAGCCATATCAGAATTAGAGTTCTCTCTCTCAAAAAAAAAAGTCTTCTGAAGGGTTCCATGATTGAAAAACTTTGAGAAACACTGGCCTAGATAATGATTAGCAAGTTGGGAAGTTTTTTTTAATGGAGGAACAGAACAGAAAGAAGATAAAATTGTAGAAACAGCTGCCACACCAGCTTTAATAAATGCTAAAGTGTTTATTTCATCTGCTGAGCCTTCAAGCGCACAATCAAAAATGATGAATGCGGCCGATAGGTTGTAAATGCACAGACATGTGAAACCAGCGGGTGCCCACATCTTTGTTAATGTTAGGAAACGATCCAGGGGCATAACTCGAAAATTGGCAATAAGGCCATGCAGGGAGGGAGACATAACCCAATAGTCCTCCACCGTTATCCTTCATCTTGATCATCAAGCGAGAATAATTAAGGATCATACGTACAGTCAAATTAGTCTTTGCGCTTCTTGAATCTTTAATAGTAAGCTGTCCAGACTTCACAGCACATTTAACATAGTTTTTCCAAGTCTGGTCCCATGCAACTTTGATAGCAATCAATGATACAGCTCCGGCTAACAATAAAACATCTGTACACATTTATAGATTTCTACGTAATGAGGCAAAATTCGTTTGGAGATGTTTAAGGTGCAAACACTCGGCGGATC